CAAAGAAATCTATTCCGTCTTGTATAACATATACAAAATTCCAAACTTCACATGGATCCAAATTTCACATGGACATCCAAAATTCCAGACTTCATACAAGTGGACGGTGCATCACAAAGTATAACATATACAAAATTCCAAACTTCACATGGACATCCAAAATTCCAGAGTTTATACAAGTGGGCGCATCACGAACTGTCTTCTTCTTCTTCTTCTTTTTCTACAATTGGACCACACACTTTTTTTCTTCACACACATCCAACACTTAGAGTCCACCCACTCCTTCACACACAACTTCTTCATAGAAATCGTCAAACACTTGGAGCACACACAAAGAGCATCAAACTCTTGGAGGAAATCCTGAACACACACACACACACACACACATCTTCTTTTCTTGCATATTGGAGGGCATCTCAAACATGCACTTGGGGGACATCTCAAATACACATGCAAATTCTACCCACTAGGCACTCTTAGCACTTTGGAGGCAGTGATTCAAAAAGCGGACCGCCCAGCCCCTAGGCGGTCCGAAAGGCATGGGCGCATCGCCCAGGCCTAGGTGGCCAAGTAATCCTTGGGTGGCCGCCTAGGCGGTATAGAACCCGCCTAGGCGGGCGCCCAATGCCCAGCCTTGGGCGGCTGCCCCGGGGCATAAATAACTTTTAGTAGGAGCAATTTTGATCGTTTTTTTTTGTTTTTAATGTTTTTAAGGGCCAAAAATTAGGGTTTTAGGTTCATTTGAACCCTAAAACTTGTTGGAGCCAATTTTGAAGAGAGCCAAAAAACTAGTTTTTGGTGAATTTTTTAGGATCGAAAGGTTTCTCAAAGTTAACAAAAATTGATCAAAACATCACCCATTGATATTAGATTTACTTTTTGATGTTTTGCAAAGTTAGTAGGGAGTTTTTTAGAAGATTTTGAGTATTTAGAAGCATCTTTGAGGTGGAAGTTTGAAGATTGAGCAATCAAACTCGAAGTAAGGGATTTTTTTTTAATGCTTTAGTAATTTGCATTATTTTTTAGATGTCTTCATTTGAACCCTAAAACTTGATGGAGCCAATTATTAAACTTTGAAGTTTGAACTTTGATTGAAGTATTGTGTATTGAACTATTGAAGATTCTTTTGAGTCTTCAAGTATTACTTTCATAGTTTCATAATTCAATTTTGTTTTCTTCCTCATGGTGGTGTACTGCAGTACTGGTGTGATACTATTTGATAATTTGGTTGGTTGGAAAATTTTAAGTTTTAATTGGATATGGAGTATGAACCAACTTATGGATTATGGTTATGCTTATGGAGTGTGTGCTAAATACTAATATGTAGTATAATTTGAATTATGTACTGCAATACATATAATTGATATTGACATAACTGCAGAATCCTTATTTGGATTCAACTGGGCTGCCTAGGTTCTGGGTGCCTGCCTAGGCACTGGGCAGCCTGGGGGTCCCAGGCCGCCTAAGACCCTCCTAGCACTTTTTGAAACACTGTTTGAAGGACATCTCAATACAAATGCACTTCTGCCAGCTAGGGGCTCAAGGTGCCACCCAGGCAGTGTCTTCCAAACTCTTAAACATTGCATCGCACCAAGCATATTAACACTAGATTTCCTGACCTGAATCTATGAGGTGTTGCAATGCTGATTCAGATAGGACATCTAAACTACTTCCACACTCTTGGGAAGTTCAAGCATCAGGGTCTTACAATCTATACTCTTTAATGTGAAATGAGTACTTTACGTTGATACTTGATGAAATAGGAGGGAGACATTCACATTTCATATCACTAAGAAAGATTTGGCAAGAAAGATTTGGCGGGCTGACTATAAAACTCAGAACAAACGACAAATTCTCCAATGTGTCCCCCAATGCAAACACAGTTTGCCATGCTTTGCTCATCATGAGAAGCTAGAGAATTCTCTCGCGTGGAATTAAAAGCTAACGGCCAAAACAAATAAGAATCTGAAAGAAATGGAAGGTGTAACATGTGTATATACTGCAAGTTGCAAGACCTCTTTAGCATATGATCACAATTACCTAGAATTTAATTTGAAGCACTCAAATGCACTACTCAAAGTGCTACAACAACATTATAACTCGTACCTAACAGAGAAACCAAGGAAATAGCCAAATTTATCTAATGTAGAAGTTCCAAAACGAGCCAATTCCATCATGTAATAAATACACAAGTGCTCGGAACATCAATCATCTCACATCCTACACCACATTGCTAACAGCTGCACATTAATTTTCTCACCTGAATTTCATATGCCCAACTTACTTGCAGCACCTACTTCTGACAACAAATATTTAAGGGTCTTGTAGTTGAACTAATTCAACAACCTTATGACAATTCCAAAAAACGGAAACCTGATAAAATTATGGCAAAAGAGTAGATTGTCGATTGTAAGGAGAGTAAAGATTAGTATAATCTCCCATACAATCAACTCAACAATGACATCCTCAAAATTGAGCAGCACAACTGGATGAGGATATATGCCCTCCACGGGTGATTTTTTAACTTAACTTGTATATTATACTGATGAGAGTGCAATTTCAGCACATTCGAGATGGTAAATTCATCATTTGCCCTCATCTCCTGCCACCCTAACTTTTATGATATATTTTGAAAAAAAAAAAATCTAATATTACAATCATACATTATGCAACAGATATATGCAACGAAGAGAAATAGGTTCCAGCACAAGAGACTAAACGACCTGGTTTTCATTCAGTATAGTCAGAAGCTGAAGAAGCGTCGTTTAGAGCATAATGAAATCAACCCCATCCTTGTAAAAGATATGGACAAATCGACCTCAAATTTGTGAACACTAAGTAGCATATGGAAATCAATGATCAAAATATATCTTCACAAAACCCCAACTCAATCTTTCCAATGCCTTGTTCATTTGCTAATAGGCCTTCTACATATACATAGTGCAAAAGAAGGGTTTTTATCAGGTGTAGCCAAGTAAGAGACTTCATAGGAGCCGAGATATGAAGAAATGGATATAGCCTATACACTGATTTCAATGGATAAAAGATCTAATTGATAGAGGAAGCACCGAAAAATCAATGATTGAGGTTTTGGGCCACTAATGAACTCTCATACTGTCATCTCAGTCCTTGATTCAACATCAAAACAGTGTTCAACTAATCGGAAATATATGACATATTGCTTAAACAACCAGTTTCATTAAATAGATAAATGTTTATAAGTGACAAATCATAGCTTCCTCTTTTATCCAGACATTAGTTTCTGAAATGTTTTCTTTTCTTGGTAGATTTGTATCATTTTCTATTACAAACAAACACCTTAGAATTTGCATTACCTTTTACACCAACATGACACATTCCCAACCATATTACTTCATCATCTTTTAAGTTACTCACCTGAGGTGATTTGTTATGGCTAATCAACTCCCAACCTCCTCTTCCATTCACTATTCTTTCAATGGTTCAATCAATCTACCATTTATGAAGTCCATCATGCTCCCAAGTTAGCTGATTTTTTTTACCTACTTTGTCCATTCAGCAATGGACAATTTTATGGTAATCTGTTGGAGTTCATTCAAGTTTCCGGATATGATTGTGTAGTTTCCACTTCATAGTTCGTCAATGGTTCAACCATTTGCATAACCTAGTGCCTAAGAAACAAAAGCCTCCAAGCATAGCAGTCCATGCCAATTGCATGAGTGAACACACCAAGAAACTACCACCAGAAGAGAATAGTCATCTTAGTTTCAGGTGTAACTTTCTTTTGAATTTGCAACCAGTATACTTAGATCTACACTAACTTAACTATTAGATTATACGTTAATGCATCTCACAAATCGAATTACTTCCTCCCATGGCACCTTTGAGACTATTAAACCAAGCAACTCATGATGGGGATAATAAACACGCTTAAACCATTTAAGGAGGCATAACAATTTATCAAGTCCATGATTTGCATGATTGACCAGTATTTTGCAATCTACTTGCTTCATAACTGTCTTTATTTCTATGCAAAAAAAGGTGAAGCTGTAGCCAACTAGTTATTGAATTACTCATCATCAAATTTGTAGGTCACACTACTCTCTGACAAAAAGAGTCTATGCATGGAGTTCGCTTTCCAAGCATGCATGAAGACATTTTTCTTCACGCATCATTCAGAAACATAAAAATTGAAGCGATTTACCGTTGGTTATTAGCAATGCATGTATCAGAAGTAATAACAATGCACATAAGACATTGGAGCACTCAAAAGATCATGCAAAATGTAACAGATAGTATCTGATTGAACGAACCAGAAAGGAGAGGAATGACTAAATTTTGAGCTAGGTGTCATGTGAACGAACCTATTGAATGAAAAATAGTCGAATATTTTAAATGTACAATGGAAAATGACGCAATAAAAGCCTACAATGGCCAAACCATGCCTAGACTAGTCAAATTATAACTCATATTTGACAATACTGCACTTTAGAAGAGAAACATGAACAAATCACGAATAGCTAATAAACAAACAATGGAACTCGCTAGGAAACAGAAAGCATGTAAATGCACAAAGCCACAAAAAAAAAAAATCCAGAATCCAACTAACATTACACATTGCCAGCACCAAACCCCAATTTCACGCCAACCAAACCTTAAAAAAAATAAAAAAAAATCATACCAAGTGGATATCATGAACCCATTATACATCTGTTGTAATTCATGTGATTTGCTTTCAAAGATCAAACAAAGCAAAACAAAACCGAATAAGCAAACATAAAAACTCACAATAAAAATCCAATATCTCAATAAAAATATCACAACAACCAAATACCATGAATCATCATTCACATGTAGCCTTTTTTTTTTTTTTTCCGAGCATGTAGTTCATGTTATTTCTTCCAAGGATCAAATAAAACCAATCCAAATAAGTAAAGAAAAAGGGGAAAAAAAATGCAACAAAAACCCATTACTCAAAATCACACCTTTCCTACAATAATTTCAAATCTCAAAACATCCCATCATGTAAACATATGGTATAATCCATGTAATCAATGTGAACTGATAAGTCGACAGATTGGTGAACACCCAACATCAACAATTACATCCACTTTAATAAAATCCACCAATTATTTAAAACATAACTTAATGTAACTCCCTCTTCCATATATTTCAAAACATCTCTGATAAAAAAACAGGACATCAAGTCCTAGATCAGCCAAAATGGTAGACCATCAAAAAGGATCAAATGATCCCCATGAACAAGGTCCAAATAAAACTAAAGAAATAAATAGAGATATCGCCCAAAAAAACAACAGAGAAATCATATTGGAACATATCTTTTGAGCGCTTGCTTCCCCGCCATCATGGCGCCAACTGCTAGTCCCCCAATCGCCCCAGCCAGTGCTGCCGACCTCGGCCCGGACGCCATCTTATAAAGCACACCTGTTCCCAATCCAGCCACAATACTGTTGGCAATATCATCTGTGTCCCTATAAGCAGTGATGCTACTCTCTAAACCAGCATAAAGCAGACCTATAACACCGAGCGTATTCCCATATCTCCTTCCTGTATGGCCTGATGCATTCAATACCCTACTAACCCGAAGTTTCATAGTATCACCATGTTCGCTGGCTGTCAGACCTTGGATTAAACCCTTCGCGCCACCTGTAATGGCGCCTCCAGCATATCCACAGCCTGTGTAGTATTGAAGGTTTTCACCCCATGATCTTCTATTAATGACTGCTTCTTCAGAGAAGAGGAACTCGGGTGAGGTTGGGAGCTTGTAAATGTTGTAAGCGTTGCTTGCGGTAGGCTGCAGTTCCTTGTAAGGGTCGTACAACCGATATTTTCCGTCTGATGAGACTCTGCGATCCTCCATTGAAGGAGCTATGGAGATTTTAGGGTTTCTCGTAAAGGGCAAAGAACCCCTATTCCAAGGGAGAGAGGAGGCTTGGCCGCTAGAAGCACGTTTGGCTTCTCTGAAGTTCCCGGCTAGGTTTGGAGTTTATAAAGTTCGCCGTCATTCTTCATTCTCTCTCTTTTTTGAACTTTTTTCTCTCTCTATATATATTTCCCTTTTTCTCTCTTTTTTTTGAACTTTTCTATATATATATATATATATATATTTCTCTCTCTATATATATTCCCCTCCTTACGCCTTCAATTTTCGCCTCACAGGATCCCTCTCCGACGTTGCGTTTAAAGGAAGTAAAAAGTTTACATGAGGGTGAGGCCATAAACAATCAGAATTAGGCGCACTGTAAAATTTCATTAAAAAAATTTTCAATCATCTCGACATCAAGATGTATGAACATGACGAAAAAACAAGATTTCAAGTTTGAGAAATAGTACATCTTGTAATATATTGTTAAGACTATCAATTTTAAAGATTTTTCAGTGTTCTTAGATACGCTCGGTCTACATTATTTTTGGATCTTTAAATTTTATAATTAGATATAAAAATCAATTTCCAAGCCATCATAAAGATTTTTGATATTGAAGCAATATAATTTGGCACTATTTCAATATACGTATTATTTTAATTGCTTAGTGCAATGGTTTAAAAAACGGATAGGTGCCCCGGATCGGGCACATCAAAACCCATCCAGATCAGTGAATCGGTGATCCGGATCAAGAATCGGCCGAATCGATCAGATTAAGCCTTAAAAAAATCGAGAAAAACTATTAAATTTTATTATAAATGTTATTTTTTAGGAATAAAAAAAGAAATGGGGATACTCCATTAAAAATTTTCATTTTTTTGCATGAATATACGAATATTGATATGTTCTTACCCTGCATGACCTGCTGTTGATCATTTAATTTACATCACACAAAAGGATAAGCATGGAATTATCATAGATTAAGTACATCATCATACATGGAGTACAACTAAACATACGATTCGTAAAATATGACCTAAAAATAAAATGACAGACGTCGTTTTTCTTCTTCAAGGTCTTGCCTAGATCTTGCCATGGTTCAACTGTTTTAATATGAAATGGTTAAAAATTCACCTGACAATTCAACATGAAAAATAATCACTATGATATAGTATCAATAAAAAATATATTTACAATAGTATAGTAATTCACAATGCCAGTACATATGGAATCGTCACAAATCTTCATTTTGACAATCATGAAATATTTCTTACTGAGAAAAAAAAATTATTTATGCAACATTATAGATAAAAAGAGTCTGTATAAGTCACACTTATAATCAAGAAAGAGATTACAATAATATAATCATCCATAATGTCACTACACTTACATTTGGCACAAAAAATATTTACAATGATATAATCATTCACAATGCCACAAATAATATTTACAATAACATAGTCATTCAAGATAATATAATTATAAAATATGTATCAACAATATACATACATTTTATATATCAACATCTATTTTTTTGCATTAAAAATTTAACAATAACATTGAAAAATACAAGTTAATTTAATCATTGGTTTTCATGATAGCACCGCCTAGCCAACTTACGAAACCTCTTTTAAAATTAGTTTATAACAAGTATATAACAATATGTGGGCACAATCCCAATATTAAAATGAGCACAAATAGTCCTACAACTCAAGTACAAAAATGCAAGATAATATAATTAAAATTGCAAGCTCCAAACATACCTACAACTCAATTATCAAGAATATACATACATCATATGTATCAACATACATTTTTTTGCATTAAAAATTTAACAATAAAATTGAAAAATACAAGACAACTTAATTGTTATATATGCCACGATTTTTTTACAATAATATTCATACATTTAGTACCAAGAATATACAGACATGCCGCAAAATAATATTTACAATGATAAACTCATTCAAGATAATATAATGATAAAATATTTATCAATAATATACATACATTTTATATATCAGCATACACTTTTTTGCATTATAAATTTAACAATAAAAATGAAAAATACAGTTTAATTCCTCCTGATAAATCAAAACCTGGTCACAATTTTCACAATTTTTCAAAAAATCACGATTTTTCAAAATAATCGATCATCAAATTTTCATATTTTAAAAAACGCAGCCACAACTCCATTTCTTAGGAAATCGAGCAATAAAAATTGTTTAATCCAACAAATTACACCCAAAATCATTTGAAGAACAGTATTATCTTAAAAAACCCTCTAAAATAATTCATAATGGTGCTTCAATTCGTCTCATATTTGTAGTTTTCCAGGAAAAAAAAAACCCTAACTGTTCTTCACAAAATCGTGACTCAAAACCGAAAATCCACTACAAATCGACCAAAAAATAGAAAATAAGATACAAATATTTCTGAATAGCATCATGAAGAACTAAAACCGCATGATATGAACACAAAATTTGCTAAAAACAGTTCGAAATCAATTAAATGGCAGGAAAAAAAAAAACGCAGACCCAACCTGACAACAATGACTAGGACTCAAAAATCCACCTCAAATAGAACAAAATAGATCAAATTGGATACATTTAATGATAAATAACACTATAAAGAATCAAAACTCTATATTATGAACAAATTATTTGCTAAAAATAGATTAGAATCGATTTAATGGCGGAAAACGAAGTTCTTACCTGTTTTTCTGCAACTGTGACTTCAAACCTAAATTTGACTTGTAATCGACCAATATAATCGTATATTCTTAATAATTTCTTCACAATAACACTCTCAAGATTAATAACCCTCTTATTTAATAAAAAATAATGCCCTATTTCGTTTGAAATCTAAGAAATGGCAGATAACCTAAAAAAAACCTTGTTCTGCACAAATCCGAAGATTTGTGATAAAAAATAATGGTTTCAACTTCAGTATATCGAACAATAATGCTTAAAAGTTAAAGACAAAGCTTGAAAGATTCGACCAAAGCCTGCAAAAGCAAAAAAAATGATCAAAAAATGATAAATTTTGAAGATATATACTACTTTTTACTATTCACCCGTTTATGCTACAGTGACTCGAGGGATTCACTGTTCAGAATCACCGGTTCTCTCTAGACACGAGTGGTTCTCCATGTTTTATTGGAACTAGCATGGGGGTGCCGATTCCCGAATCGAATCGGGCGAGTCTCGTTCGACTCGTGGAGTTTTCAAACACTGGTTTAGTGCCTTAGCCTTATACAAACCACACCCTTAAAAGAAAACAGAAGTTTACAGAAAATATCCCCAGAGTCACAATATTTAGAAAATTTTTTTCGAAAGGGATTATATACTATGTGACTATTTATTTTTGTTACAAGGAAGTCACAATTACTCATATTCATTAGATATCAAATTGGATGGCTTGAAATGTTTTACGAAATTTGAGAAATTCTTTTTGAGCTTTGAGTCTAACCAATAACACTCTTATAACCATTCGATTTGAAATCTAATAGAAAAGAGTAATTATGACCAAAAGTAAATGGTCTCTTTGTACACTTTTTCCAATATTTCTAATATTTAATGGATGCAGTTTCTATAGGGCCTAGGCTTTATGAAAATAAAGTAAAGTCTCACTTCGAATCCTCATCCAGAAAGCACTTCAGGCAAGAAATCTCGATGACGATTCTAAAATCAATTTTGAACACTGACTATGAAATTTGATGTTAAGAAAAATGGTACAAATCTTGTGGATTTGTGAACAATTTTTTTGAGGCGGAATGGTTGTTCTAATAATGCGTTATAATATACACTTTTATAGCTTGAAATCGTAATTGTTTGTCTACAACCATAACAGTCAAAGACCGAGATGATCAATTTGAAGGTTTTTAGATGCCATAACTGCAATTTTAGATGAATTTTGATGTGAGGCTTTACGTATTTTGATGGGGTTGTAGCCTTGTCATACCAGTTTCCATACTCAATATTTATGTCCTACCTATTTGTTTGCTTTTTTTATTTTTATTTTTTGTTTTTCCAAATTGCCTATATTTCAGACCTCTAAGGTTGGTAGTACAAAGGGAAACTTTTGACCCTTCATACCAAAAAGTTATCCTTGGATTCAAAACAGCTTAGGACTTTCGAGGTCCAAAGCCCTTGTGCAGTCAAGAAACAACATAATGATATAATGAATGCAATAGAGATGAAGATATTGAGACGGATGAATGACAAAATAGAAAATGATAGAAATTGGAATGAATACATCATGGAAAACTTAAGGGTTGCTCCAATGAGGAAAAGATGAGGAAAAGTAGACTTAGGTGGTCATGCCATGTGTAGCGTTGACTTAGAACAATGTCAGTTGGGAACGGACGATTTGGTTCAAGTGGAATTAGGATAAGTTTTTTAGTCTTGATGATATTCAAAAGCATTGGAAAATCAGAACTTAAATATACTAGTCATTTTAAAATTGTTTCTCTATTTTTATAGTGAATGCAAGATGAACTAGACATTCATTTAATTAAAATTTGTGTGAAGAGTATGTTATTAGTCATGATCTCATTAATTCCATAATAAAGACATAATAATAATAATAATAATAATTAATATTTATTAATAATTATTTGTTACTATATTTTCTTATTGCATAGTGAATAATTTATATAACCAATTAATATCATAATATTAATATTCGTATCTTAGGTACAAAATATCAAACAAATAAAAAGTTATAAAACCAAAAAGTATTACAGAGCACCAATAGGACACCCATATACCGTTATAGTTTTATCATAAACTATTGATATTTCTCTAGCAAAAGATGGAGAGAGAGACAAAGAGAGAGCTCACATGTGTACATAGTTCATGAGAGAAAGAGAGAGAGATCGAACCCACATATGTACCTAGTTCCATAAGAACACTATTGAAGGATCTATTGCAGGTACCTAGATAGTTGAAGACAGCTGTTTTGTGAGAAGATAGAAAAAGATTATTTAAGGATCCGGTTTTTATGCAACCAAGCCCGTATATGTAGAAATGCAGACTTCTTAATAAATCTATTTTTGAGATGGATTTTAAGACTATATTTTTAAAGACATATAATTTTTGATATGGAGATCATGAATATGAAAAAATAAATAAATTTTAAAGAACTAAAAATAA